CCTTATCTGTTAAATGGAGTGTCACAGCCCATTTGGGCTGCTGTCACCAACCACCACAGACTGGGTGGCTGATCCCCAAGAGAAACTGATCAGTCACAGATCTGGAAGCTGGAAATCCCAGATCAGGGGGTGCCAGCGTGGTGGGGCTGAGGGACCTGTTCTGGGTCGCGGACTCCTCATGTGTCTCCACACGGCGGAAGGTGGGGGAGGGAGCTCTCTAGGGTCCTCTTTGTAAGGACGCTAATCCCACGCAGGAAGGCTCCACTCATGAAATTCATATGTCTAACCCCCAATACGACTGCATTTGGAGATAGAGCATTTTGGAGGTAAGTAAGCTTAAATGAAGCCATAAGGTGGGGATCCTCATGCGATAGGATTGGTGGCCTTATAAGAAGAGGAAGGGAGAGAGAGAGATGTCTCTTCCTCCACAAGAGGACAGTGAGAAAGCAGCTGTCTGCAAGCCGGGAAGATAGCTCTTACCAAGAACCAAATCTGCACCTTGATCTTGGACCGATCCTAGACTTCCTGTTTCTAGAACTGTGAGGCAATAAATGGCAGCTGTTGAAGCCAGCCCCCGCCCCACCCCCCAGCCCTTCCCCGATTGGTGGTATTTTCTTGAGTAAGACATCTGATCTGGTTCTGTTGGGTCTGAGAATCTCCTGAGGGCAGAGAGCCCCTACAGTCACCAGGCCATCTCATTTCCTGACATGGTGCGTGAATGTGGTGCCACCCTCAATGTGGATGACAGCTTTTTACTGGACAAAAGATGTCAGCTCCTATTGAATCCTCTGGTGTGTGGCACTGTAGTTATGAACAGTTTTTCTGACCTGGTCACCCTCTGGTAGGTTCCTGAGACAAAATATAGGACACCCAGTTAAATCAGAATTTCTGGTAAACAACGAAGGTGAAATGTGTTTTTAGCATACGTATGTCCCAAATGTTGCACAGGACACACGCTAAAACACGATTTGTCTTTTATTATTTATTTATTTATTTATTTATTTATTTATTTATTTATTAACGTTTTATTTATTTTTGAGACAGGGAGAGAGAGCATGAACAGGGGAGGGTC